GAGCGGCTTTTTTTTTTTTTTTTTAAAGGGTGCAAGCTATTCTTAAAACCATTTACTGGGGAAATAAGAACCTAAACCAAGCAGGCCGGAAGTCACTACCATCACAGAACCCATGGGGCAGGGTGAGGCAAAAAGGAACAGAGAAATAACCCCTCAATTGGGAACGCATTCAACTTTATGTCAGATACTGCACCAGGTGCATTAGATAGGTGGCGAGGGGCGTTATCATCCCCTGACCATCAGAAAACCAACGAGGCTCAGAGAGGCTACAAACAACTAGTTAAGCCACTGAGTCAGGATTAAACCCAGGCCCATCCATTTGTTGCCAGTCACTCTGCTGCCTTGTAAATCTCGACTCCAATATCAAATTGCCGTGTCACAGTCACAGCTGTGACCAGTCACAGGGAAGCAAACAGCCCGAGTTCAAATAATGATATAAAGAACTTTTTTCCCTTCCCATGATGTACACATTTCTCAACTTGTTTAAGACATGAAACATTTGAATTAGTTTTCTAAATGCTCACACTCAGTCTTTAATGGATATGGAGTTAGCTCTTAAGCAAGTCTAGGAAAACGTGGCTTGATCATTATGGGGGGTATGGGGCTATCTTCTTCCAATTCCCTTTTCCTTTTACACTTTGATCCAAAACAGAGGGAAATTTGAAAAGGGGGATGGCAAAACCTTACATTTAGATATCCTCCAAAGTAAAGTAAATAACTGACTCTGAATTCCTAAACTCTTTCCCTTCACTAATAAGCATTTTCCAGCAGACGTGGCACAACCATCCTTGCATGTCCCAGGCAGATATGGAATCTTAATTCAGGCCCCTTGGGAAACGGGGTATGTAGCCCTCCATCAGTAAGGTTTTGCAACTATTTTGTTTAAGTTGTTAAAATAATAAATATCATATGGAGACTTTGGACAAACTTGAGAGAAATAAGACACTGCCTAGTGAAAAAGGGTAGATTTTACAACTAGGGTGGCTTTATATTGAGAAAAAAAATGTTTGCAGTATCATAAAATGTATTCTCATTCCGAGGTAAAAATGGTATCACTCAGCTACTATGAATAAAACAATCCATAGCTCTTGAGCAACTGCTGTCTCCACCCCCTTAGTCCACAATGAATTTATGTCTCTTTGTTGTCCTACCCTGGCTTCTTGGCACCTCTGGCCTCAATCCAACTCATGAATTGGGTGAATATGAAACAGTCAAGCTTGCTGATCTTTGGGGAAGTAAGCTCATGGCTTGGACCTAGGTGTCACAAAGTTACATAAATGACTGAAACATGTAGGCACATGCATACACACACACCAGCAGAGTTTGGCTTCTGTCTACATTAATGTTTCCAAGGATTTTATTTTGTGACCATAAAACTGGAAAATGGCATATGCTATGAGTGATTCCAAGAAATCTGCTTAACCAGAGAAAAACATACCACAATTTTCCTTTCTAAAAGCCATAGTGAGCTTTACAAAAACATTATTGAAAGGGGAAAGAGCTTGATTTGTACTATTCAAAGACTGTAGTTGAAAACAGAAATTATCACCACTGGAATGAATGGCCTGTCACTGGTAAATTACAAGTTCTATGTACATATAGGTTATTTACTTTTCAGTAGGGTCCAGAAGTGTCAAAATCCTTTTCTACGTTTCTACATTAGAGGAGATGATTAATTCTTCAAAACTACTGGATGTCAGCTATCTCATAAATATTTAGTGCATCTCCCCAAGATGAGCTGCAATTTACTTCTAGCAGGGGTTGTAGCAATATTATTTAAGGTAACTTAAAAACCTCGTACGGTTTGAAAATGACAAAGTCAGCACAGGCTGGAATCAAACAACCTCTAAGGAACAAAGGGTCCCAGTTGTTTCTTTGCCGTTTCCAGTCTTGACGTTAAAGGGCTCCCTCACAGATTCCCCACAGCTTCAGCCACTTACTGATGGTTTCTGCAGTGATAAAGGCACAACATTCTGCCATCTTGCAGCATCAGGCATAGCTTCCAAGAGG